TTTCTATTTTAGATAGAAAAATGGCCTTTTTAACACTGGAATTCATAAATTAGATAACAAAGTAAAGAAAATAGTGAAGTGCCTGATGTCCCATATATTGGTCTCAATTATTTGAAATTTCAGTTGCAACCAGAAAGGAAAGAAAATAGTACAACAACAACAATTTTCTATTAAAAGAACATTGCCAAAGAGTCAAGTTCCAATTTTCTTTTTTCCAAAAATGAGCAGTTTGAATTTTAGTTTAAAGCGTTAAATTTTGTACCAGCCAATTGACAGGGATGCATATTTATGTTATTTGTACATCTATCTTATTAATTATATTATTTAGAACATATTTGTCACGTTTGTCAATACATAAGCATTAAATATTAGTTCTTCATCTCCATTTTTTTTTACAATTTTGTTAAAAATTCCCGATTTTATTACAACAATAGTTCCACAGCTAATGTACAACATTTTACCAATATATATATATATATATATATATATATATATATATATATATATATATATATATATATATATATATAAACCTTAAAGTAACTAAAAATGCGAATCTAGCTCGAATATATATATATATATAGTCACGAAGTAATTAATAAGGATATAAATTAATTTTATTTACCATTAATAATTATTTCCAATTCCAATTAACATATTTTTATTTTATTATTCCAATCAAATGTACTTTCATATAATTTAAAACTTTCACTTATTGTTTTAATTCCACTTTATTGTATTTCTAGTATTATTTTATTATTCAGAAATTTCATTTATTTCATTTATTAATTTTATTTTTATTATTATTTGCTTTTATTTTATATTAAATCATAAAAACATACTACGGATATCATTTTAATGTAAATTCTATCCTTCGTACTCTTATTTATTTAAATTTATGTTATTGTTTATTATTATTACTAGATGTTAAATTATTTAACAGTTGTAATAAATATTGTGATTAAAAAAATATATACATATATAATTTAAAAATTAAAATTTTAATACGTTGTTTAGAAACTAATTTCTTATTAATTTGTTAGAGCATAGACTGCGGGTCGGTAACAATTTTGAATGTAACTTTTATAAATACATAAAAAAATAATAATGAAACAATGTTAAATTAAATATATAATTATTGAAAACAATTTAGTTATAAAGCACAAATATCTGCAAATTGATCAAATTTTTTTGGTTTATCAAACAATGCTTGAAAAAAATTAATATTTAAGAGAAAACTAAGGTGTAGTACGAAATGATGAAATAATAATTATATAATTATATACAAATTTATTTTACAAAAATTCAAGCACAGCTCGAATGTCTTATTTAAATAACAAAACTCGTGACTTTTACTTCGAGCTAGATTCCCATCACATCTTAAACCATAACCTAAAAAATTGTCATTTATATAATCCTATATCGTCAATGATCTATAATAAATGTAATGTGACAGCCTAAATCCACTTCTAACTAAAACAAATGTGTGATCTATGTAGCACAAAGTGTTTGTGTGTATGTGTGTTTTTGTGTCGGAAAAAAATCACAGCACAAAAAAAACGTTGGACGTCACACAAAAATGGTATAAAACACTGTGAACCACTGTACCTTATGAAGTTTCACTTCGAATCGAATCACTAGCACATAAAAATATAAAAAATAATAAGATCAGATTAAATATTTTTTAGTCCTGGTAAGAGAGCATTTTATAATAACTATTAAGGTTTTATGTAAGTAAAACTTCTTTAGGCGTCATTAGAAGATATTTGTTTCTACGCTATGAAACTGACAATAGGACTGAAGTTGGTTACGCTTGACTTTGATTGGCCATTGGCCGATGGCGTCACTTGAATGTGTTGATGTGATTGGTCGTAAAGAAAAAACTATATTTTTTATTTAATTTATGATAAAGAAATGCATATCTTACGGGGCACAACTAGTGTGAAATTTTCAAAAAATCGAATTTTCAATTTTTTCATATTTTGATAGGTTATACCTTTATATACCTTTAAAAATAACATACCAAAATTTTAAATCGATATCTTGAATAGTTTTTGAGTCACAGCCATTTAAAGAGTATATATATAGTATATAGTATAACGATCATTTTATCTCGAAACAGCATTTTTAACGCGTTTTTCTCGAAACAGCATTTTCCGAATTTGCTGCAGCGATTACTCAAAGACAAATGATCCGATCACTATTAATTTTTTTTTTACTTGTTCTATATAGAGTTCTCCGTAAAATAAACTATCGATTTTTTGATCGGATCAAAAATCGAATTTTGGCAGTCTAAAAACGACAAAAATTTTGTCAATTTTTGATTATTTTTTTATCGTAGTTCATTTTACAGACAATATTATCTAGTTTAACGAGATTTTTTTTTATTTCATGCACGTAGAAGGCCGGAACCATTGCAGCAGTGAAGGGCCTTATTTTGCGCCATTGGAGATCGACGATAATTTAAAAAATATTTAAATTTTTCTTCAAAAATTTTACTATGTATTCTTAAAATATGTGTAAATATATTCTTAAAATTTTAAAATGATTGATAAAGTATTTTTTTTAATATAAATTCCCAAAAATCACCTCTTTTTTAGGCGGTTACACTAGTTGTGCCCCTTAAGGAAGGAAAATTGTCATAATGAAATTGGAACGTCACATTTAATTAAAAATCAAAAATTTAAGTTTATCAAAAAATTTTATACAAATGTCAGCATGCGAATTATGCTGCATTTTCATAATAACTATAATTTTGTATCTATTACAAAATTTTTGGATACAGATAAGCACTGAAGATGAGTCAAACCAAGACTCGAAACGTATGCTATTCTAATAAAGACAGAATGTCTTCACAAAATTATTTTTATTATTGGATACATATACATATATATATATATATATATATATATATATATATATAATAATAATAATAAATATATTATACATCAATATTAAAAACATGCACAAAAGCAAAGCTCGATATACGATTAGGAGCACGAAGCAAAAATTCAAACATAATACAATAAATATACAAAAATTCAATAATAAATATATATATAAATCAACAACATGCACACACAATATATAGATATATAAATTAGGGTGGTCTTTATTATGATCACTTTTGAATTTCTTTGCTCCCAAGGGCTCAATTGCTTCCAAATTAATATAAAAAATCTCTAAAAATTTTAGCTTTAAATATTAGCATTCAAATAGTCCGCAATTCAATTAAAAGTCTCGTATATTAAGTAAATTCTGTGCGCCATCTGTGATAGCAGACTTGTAATTTTGATGGCTCATAATTTGAGTGTTAATCTCTCGTTAAATTAATCTTGATGCCATGATGAATAGATATTTCGTTAAACTGTCCACATGGATTTAATCAGAAGTTAAGTGTTTTATAAATATTTTTAAGTGTCATAATGTTTGAGTTTACAAATGCTATCACAGATGGCGCAAGAATGTACTTAATGACATATGTTAATAATAAAAATAAGAAACTTTTAATTGAGTTGCGGACTATCTTAGAGCTAATATTAAGAGCTAAAGCTTTTAGAGATTTTTTTTTGCTCAATTTGTAAGCATTTGAGCCCTTGGGAGCAAAAAAATTCGAATATGTCCATATTAAGGACCACCCTAATATATATACATATATTTACCATGCCCATCAAACATCAAAAGCGCGATGATGATTTATGTGCAAATGAATATTGTGATATATATAATGATAGTAAATTATCACAATGGTATATTTATATATACCATTTGATATTAATTATATATTATATCAAATGAATAAATAAATCCTTGTATACATTTTTCTTCTAAACAAAGACTGAATGCATCATTATTCGAATTATCGAAGAGAACTAAATTACTAAAATATAATCTGAAATTCTTTAATGGTATTAAAGAAATTATTCACTTTTAAACCAAAAATTTAAAATTAGTCGAAATTCTTTTTGCTTAATAATTTAGTAAAATGACTATCAAGTCTCGACTAACAATTTTTATTTATTTAGTAATTTATTTATTCATAAGCAAGCCATAATCAATAATAATAAATATTATTTGAATCAATATAAATATTATTTTAATCAATAATAATAATTATTATTCAAACGATAAAGTTACATATTTTTCATTAATTTTTTTTAACAAAGTTTGTAAACATCATAGATAGGCTTATAATGGATACATTTAATAATAATCGGCATACATCATCACGACATAGTTTATTTATGTTATTATTTTTATATTACTGTTTTTATTTTATTTTATTTCAACTTTTTTAATTTATATTTAATTTATTGTATTTTTTTCTTTTTTTGTGCATATCAATTTTGTAAATAAAACATTATAGTCTTGATTAACTAAAATAAATTATAACAGAAAAAAATTTAATAATAATGCATTCAGTCTTTATTACATGATTAATATATATGCAGATGTCCCAGAACTCAACGTTAAACGGTAGGGAGATTTGGTCAAACTTTAAACAATTTTCGGTTACCGCAATTAATTTTTATTATTTTTCTTCATTTAAATTTTGGATTTGTAACCATGAATAACACTAAAAAATAATGAGACAATTGTCCGAAGTTTTTAAGAATTAAGACTATTTGTTAAAACTATGAATTTAGAGTTTTGAAAATTGATCAATTTGAAAGAGACAATTTTAAAAAAAAAAATATGTACAAAGTTGGAACATTTAAATTCAATCCTTTAAGGGGACGTCCATTGATCACGTGATCGATTTTTTAAGTATTTTTGGACCAAAGGATTTTAGTTACGAAATTGTAAAATTTTTAATTATTTTTTTGAAAATACTTAGATTTAAAAAAATTCAGGTAAAAAATGAATACACGTGATATCTTACTATACCCCTCCCACCCCCACGTGATATTTCGTGATTTTTTCCCTAATCACGAGACAACTCATTATTTATTCATTTGATATTTCAAAAAAAAAATTATTAATTCTGAAGTGGTACTCACGATGGCTTCTCCACTCTGTGCAAAACATCACTCGGATCAGCTTTCTTGATTTCTGATTCTCGAACTTGCTCGGTCAGAGTTTTGAATGCTGTACTTCGAATTCTGCAAAAATATAAACAAATAAATAAAAAATAATAAAATAACTAAGAAGAGACTTAAAACTTAATACTAAAGACTTAAAATAAATACTAAGAAAGAACTTAAACTTAAATCAAAAATAATAATAGTACTTTTTTTTTCCTACATTTTACAATGTTTTTTTGTCTATCATCAGACAAAAATACTATGGTCGAGAACCAGATCGTATTCAGGAGAGAATCTGATGAATCCTGAATGCACTCCCAAGTTATGCAACAGGTTGCCTCTGGATGCAGGCGATGTCACAATCGGGAACTGGGTTACAGGAAACACACTGGGAAAGGAGAAAGGATTTAGGAATTAAGTGATGAATTTGGAAGGATGAGCAGGATTACATAATTAAATTAGAAAAAATTAGAAAAAAAACCTGATTCGAGTCAACTCAATTTAAGGTCAAATATAGATGTATTTATTCAAAAAAATGTGATAAAAATTTATTATAAAAATGTGAAATTTGACCCATAGGGATCGTTCAAGTATTACGTAAGCAGATTTATTACAATTATTTACCCCCCCCCCCTACCCTTTGTCAGCAAAAGTAAGCAAAGTTCTTACCCAAAATAAGCAGAATAAGCAAATAAATAACCCCCCGCCCCCCATAGTGCTTACGTAATACTTGAACGGCCCCATATATGCAATTATTATATTTTAACTAAAATTAGTTAAAACTAGCTGTAAGTGAAATTCTGTCTTAAGGCAATTAAGGCATCGTGCCTTAAGGCAAATTGCTGGAACTTACCGTACCAAAATTTTTCTTTTTAAAAAACGATTAACATTTTTGAAAAAATTTTATTTCGAAAAAATAAGATTTTTGAGAAACTATAAATTGGCCAAAAATTACTTTTTTTTTGAAAAAAAAACATTTAAAAAAAAAAAAAAAATTAATTTTTTTTTTTGAAAAAAAAAATGTTTTCTTTATTTTGACATATTTTGGAAGATCTAAACCTTTTATCAAAGCAATCGTACTACTTTAACTGCATAAAGACGAAATATCAAAGAGAGTAAGCGCCGCGTCGCCGTCTAACGAATAAACATTGGTACGGAACCCATAGGAATGCAAACAAAATTTATACTTATTATTAAAATCTCTATAAAATATCTGATAATTTGATGTGCATATGTCTAATGATCATTTTTGACCGCCAAATGGCACTTTTTTTTACTTTTTTCATTAGATCTCCGAAACCGTTAGACCTGCCTTCTTGAAAATTTGATCAATTCTTCATCTTATCAATACAAGTAAAATGTTTTTTAAATTATTCAAATCGGACTCTCCGTTCTCTTAAAAACTGAGTTACCGTTTTCGGCACTTTTTGCCCCGTATCTTTGGAACGGCTAGACCTGCCTTCGCCAAAAACTAATCAGCACGTCTCCTTATCAATACGAATCGAATGTTTTTTGAATTATTCAAATCAGTTGATCCGTGTTCCCGAAATCGTCGACGAAAATTTGTATCCGCACATACATACACACACGTACATACACACACACACACACACACACACATACATCCATTTTTTCTAAAGTATGCCAAAATGTTCAGAAACCTCTGAAACGTAAAGATATATAAAAATTTTCATTTTCGATTTTTTTGCGATTACTATAACTTGCCCTACGGGAAGTTAATAAGATTCTTGTTACAGTTTTTATTATTTAGTCCAGTTTCTAATAAATATAACTATTTCTAGTTATACTCATGTTGTTTGTTCTCATTGTATTCCTTGTGAATTGAGGATTGAATATTCCAATCCGATTTACTAAACAAATTTTTTTTTGATAAATTGAAAATTAAAACTGAAGTATTTTTCGCATGATTCGTCTGCATTCTTATTGATTTCTATTTTCATATTTTTCCTTCGATGTGCAGGAGATACATTTTCATCAATTATTCCAGAATACTATAAATCAATAAATATCCAGAATACTATGCATAAATAAAACATGGAAAACTTCAAAAGCATGTACTATTTATTATTTGCTGAAATTGTTTTTCATAATTAAAAAAATATAAATATGGAAAATATAAAATACAAATAATAGAATCGTTAATCAATTCGTAAATAATCATCATCATTATTAACTTCCCGAAAAAGGATTTTCATCAAAAAATCCGAATCGCTAATTTTATGTTTATCCTGAATCGTATGAGATCAAATTTGGAAAAAGTATGCGTGTGCGTGTGTGTGAACAGATTTTTTGCCGTAAATCAACGTTTTCTCGAAAACGGCTGGAGCGATTGCAAAAATTTAAAAGCCACTCGATGTATCTCGATGAGGACTATTGTTTGTCAGTTTTGTGCGACAATCGCCACGCCGTTTCTTTATAAATCGCAGAAAAGTGAAAAAATTTTCGTCTACGTTTTAGCCTGCAATTCTGAATCGATTTTGAAAATTCAAAAACCGTTCGAAAGATATTGGTTGGGAATCGCGCTGATTAGTTTTTGGTAGAGATCAGCCGGGCCGTTTTCTTGTAATAAGTTTAAAAAAAAAATCGACGATTCTTATGATTATTTTTTTGACGGTAGATACCATAGTCTTCTAGATCATACTTAAATATTACGGCCCTACGACGACTCGTTTAGCTTTAAAAATTTATCAAAGTTTGCAAAAATTAGTATCGTTTTTTTGGCATCTGTCAAAATTAGACCTTTGATCGACGTTTTCTCAAAAACGCCTGAACCGATTTTAGAAATTTAAAAGCCATTTGATGTATTTCAATGATTGTTTGTCGGTTTTGTGAGACGATCTGTAAAACCGTTTCTCTGTAATTTGAAGTTAAACTTTTCGTCCACATTTAAGCTCATACTACCAAATCGATTTTAAAAAATCAAAAACTGTTCAAAAGATATTAGTTGGGAATGATACTGATCAGTTTTAGGTGAAAACCTACCGAGCTGTTTTGTTGTAATTAACTGTTAAAAAAAAATTAAGTCGATTTTAATGGAACTTTTTTTGACGATATATATTATGGTCTTATAGAACTTACTGAAATATTACGGCCCTACGACAAGTAGTTTAATTTTTAAAATTCATCAAAGTTTGAGAAAATGAGTAGTTTTTTTTTACGTTTGTTAAAAATAAAATTAGACGATTTAGTTAGTATAACAATAGTGTACTTGGTCTTGAACATAATAAACCATTAAAGTCCTACGGAAACTGGTTCAATTATAAAAATTATTGATTTTTAAAAATTTGCTTTTAGAAAATACTCCGAGTTAACGTGTTCGTTCGTTCGTTTGCAATGATGTGTAATAAATCCACTCGGAATACTTCTAATCACTCATAAATTAATTCATTTTTTATTGATTAAGTTGATTATTTACACATTTCGGGAAGTTCATGTAACTTGCCTCAAGGCAAAATACCAATACCAACTAGTTAGAACAGCGATATTGCATAGTTTTATTACTAATCTTATATATAAAAATGGACCGCAAAATGTGTTGGTAAGCGCATAACTCAACAACGCCTGAACCAATTTGGCCAATTCTTTTTTTAAAATGTTCGTTCAAGTCCAAGGATGGTTCTTACGGCGAGAAAAAATCAAATAATTGCCGGGAAAACCCTGAAAACAGCCTTTTTCTTTTTTAATCGAGTAGGCAACGAAGTTTGTAGAAAAAACAATGATCTATGTCATGACATTTTGTGTAGTTTTTGATAATTTAATTTTTAATATATTTATATGAACATAGAAATATCTTTCTGTTAATTAACGAGCTATATTGGCAGCCAAAAACATTGATGTAGATGAACTAAATTTCAAAATTCAAGAACAAATTGCAGGCGAATCAGCTGATTCGGCAGCTAACCAAGACGATCCACCGGAGTTTTTAAACTTACTGGATTTGCTAGGATTGTCACCTCACAATCTTCAATTAAAGGTTAGATCGGCAATTATAATGTTGCAAAATATCGACCAATCGCGCCTTTGCAACGGCACAAGGTTAGCGATAAAAAAAAACTACCAAACAACGTGATGGAAGCAACTATATTAAAAGGATAGTATAAAGCAGAAGATGTTCTCGCACCGTGCATCCCAATGATTCCGACTGATGTGCCATTTGAGATTAAACGACTACAGTTTCCAGTGCGTTTATGGTATCATTAAGTGTTTGTGGTATTAATTTGGAAAACCCATGTTTCTAACATGGAAAATTGTTCCCGTATTGGAAAACCATCAGATTTGTTTGTCAAGGAATGCGCCAGGTAATCAAACAAAAAACATCGTTTATCACAAAGTACTACAATGAGAATTGAACTGATTTTTGAATTATGATTTGCATGATTAAAATTACTTACTTTTAAATGCACATAGTGTTTTATTAATTATTTTTAATTCACACCGAATTATTACCAGGGTGACGGTTCTGTTCAGGATAATTTTTTGCAAAGAATAGAAAAAAGGTAGGAACGAAACACCGCCACATTACAAATTTTTTTGACAGGACGAAGTCTGTCGGGTCGGCTAGTAGTGATATAAAAATGTGACAACGCCGTTTTAGATAAGTCAATAATTTCTCTTATCGAATGATAAGATATATATGTTTATACTCCGCAAACGCAGTATTCAATTAAGTGCAAAATCAGATAGACATTTTCATTTATTATTTCTTATTGAATTAATCGAGTGAAATATAATAATATTTCATTTACCAGAATGGTAGACAATTGTAGTGACAGTGACGAAGAACGGGAACAAAATGCAGAATTATTTCGTGAAATTAAGTATGGCAATTTACAAAGGTTTCAGCAACTTTTAAATAAAAGAGTCAAAGTTCATATAGTTGATAGGAACAACAAGAACAGTACACTTTTGCATTATGCAGTCGAGAGAAATAAACCAGAAATTGTGATAGAGTTATTACAGGAAAAATGGCAAACAGACGTAGATGCGAAGAATATAAAAGGCCACACTGCCTTGGATATTGCTCGTTCCGCAGGCCTCGAAGATATTGTCGATATACT